CCGCGTCCCCCCCCCCCCCCCCCCCCCCCCCCGGCTTGGCCCACTCCGCCTCATTGCCTACAACAGTGGCGGCAAGAAGGAGGACGAAGGTGCGGGAGGGGAAGATGGCGGTGCTCCGGGCAAGAAGAAGAAGGGGAGCAAGAGCAAGAATGCCAAGATGATTCCTCTAGAGCTCCAGAGGCTCTTCGCCCGACTGCAGCTGCTTGATGCACGCACGGTGTCGACTGAGGTGCGTGTCTGTGTGTCTAGGCGATGATGAAAAGATCATGAAATGTATTGCATTTAGGCCAAGATTTTTGGCGTTTAGTTTTCATGTTCCATGACCACAAGTCATGTGCCATCTGGTGAAGCCAAGTGCAACGTAAAGCTCTATATATTTCTTTGTTGGGTAGACTCGCGTACTATTGAAGCCACTACTGCTGTTAAATCTGTTAAGCATGTATCGTGGCAAAACTCGCGGGACAGAGTACATTGCACCACGTGGCATGGCTTGACTTGACGTAACCGGCTGCCACCTTTGGCGTTGGCAGGACTTAACGGAGCGAGGTTTCAAGTGGAAGAACGACGAGGGCCGGATGCAGCACGATGCCCACGAGCTGATCCGACTCCTGATCGACCGCCTAGAGCGGGACATGAAGCACTCCAAGGTTAACGCTGGCCTCGTCTCGGCTCTCTACGAGGGGGATCTAGCCAATCAGGTCAGATTTATGGTTAGGGTTGGGTACCAGCTAGGCCTGTCCTCCATCGGCCGTTTTGCTTGTATGACGGAGAATAAGAAGGTGGAATTACTTGAAATTAGTATAGAAATAAAGTTTGTGTATCTAAATCGAAAATAAAACGGCCGATGGAGGACAGGCCTAGTACCAGCTGGATGTCGACTCTAACCCCACGCTAGCAACAAACGTCTATTTTTGCGTCTACACGGAAGGTACTCTCGCACGCGTTGTTTTTTATGTGTTTTTTCTGTTGTTTTCCCTCCATTTTTTGGTACAATGTTTTCATGTCTGTTCGTGAAGTCGACGGAAAAAGGGCGCCACATTTGTTTGCTCTCACCGCAGCATCCGGTGTCGATGACTCGCTTCCCAACGTTTCTACCCGCTGACCGTGCTACTGCTGCTGCTGCCTCTACCGCACTGAAGGTGAAATGCCTCCATTGCGGACACGTTAGCGAGAGGAGGGAGAAGTACCGCGACGTGCTGCTGCAGGTGGCAGGCCAGGAAGACCTGGTGAGCTTCGAGAGTTGCTTTTCGGGTGTTGGGTTTTGGATAGTATGTGTGTCATTGGTGGTCGGCGCTCTTGGTGTGGTGGGTTTATCTTGCAATCGCATGTGTTGCTGTGCATCTTGTGTTTTCTCGACGGAGACTGGTCGCATTTCCTCGAGGTCCAACAGAGTACCTCGTGAGTCGTGAGTCGTGAATCGTGAGTCGTGAGTCGTGATTATGTGTTGGCGTGGCTCTTTTCTCTCTCTTTCTCTCTCTCTCTTTTAGTCCCTCGGCGTGTTTATGTGTTTGCTTCTCTCTCTCTCTCTCTCTCTCTCTCTCTCTCTCTCTCTCGCGTTTGATTCNCTCTCTCTCTCTCTCTCTCGCTCTCTCTCTCTCTCTCTCGCTCTCTCTCGCTCTCTCTCCTCGTAAGCGAGGCATGTCCACGATCTTTTCGCACGCAGTCACAGAAGGGTTACAGTGTCCTATTTTCCCTCATACCATCCACCGATTGCCGCAACCTGATTGTCCTTTTTTTATGTTGTTGGTGCCCGTTTCTGCTGAACCGGAAACGGTTCCGCCTGACAATCTGGGGGATGTCGTGAACGTCGAACCGACTGGGGACGCTTGCTTGCACATCACATGCCTCCAGGTGACGAGCCTGCTGAGCTACACGCGACCCGAGCGCTTGTCCGGCGACAACAAGTACTTCTGTGACCAGTGCCAGGAGAAGCAGGACGCATTGCGTTCGCAGACTCTGAGGGCTCTCCCTCCTGTGCTCATCTTTAGCCTCAATAGGTGAGTTATTGCGAACTTTGAGCTATGCCTCAATAAGTTGGTTTGTCCGTAGCTGTAGAGAGGTATGCCTCAACCGATTAGTTAGTCCGGAGCTTGAAAGCGACGTATGGAGAGCTCAATGCTGTGTCGCAAGTTGATTATTACTCTCGTCATCGGTCATGTAGTCTACGCTGCTGTCTGACTCGACATGTTGTCTTGGCCTAGCCGCATCCTTGTTGGGCGCGGGCAAGGTGGTTTCGAGTTAGCCTGTACAAGAGCAAAGCGCGCCATCTTTGATGTTGCGTTTCGCTTGTGATGAAACCGTGATGACACCTCAGGAAGAACGCCGCAGGCGGCGCTCATCGAAACATAAAACCTTGCGTCACCACTTGATGCAAACATGGCGAAAATGAAAGATTCAACATCACAATTCGAAGCTTCAAACCCCCTTGATGAATGTTATTGACAGCGTGTGTATCCGTGACATGACACCAACGTGCGTTGACTTCATGTGTTGGACTTGCATTGCATCGCAGGTTTGAGTTTGACTTCGAGACGATGGAGCGAGTGAAGGTCAAGCAGGAGTTCAAGTACCCCCTCACGCTGGACATGGAGCCCTTCGTGGAAGGTCGGGCGTGGTCCGGCAACGACAACTCGGACGAGAGCCAAGTGAGTTGCTGCTGCCGTTGCCGTTGCCGTACATGTAACCGCCGCCGCCGCCGTTGCGCATTCTCATTATTTTGTGATTGAGGGCTGACACACAAAGAATCCTCTGTTCTCGAGCGTCGCCGGCGAAAGCTGTGCCCTGTCCACCCGTCCCCTTGTCTTTGTCTCGCAACAGTCAAGAGCCAAGAGGTAGGCTGGTTCTGCCGTTAGGAGAGACGTCGACTATGTGTGCATTGCTGCTGCTCTTGTTTGTGCTGTTGTTTGTCGTTGTATGTCATGACCACACATGCCCCCTCGCCTTTACAGGCGGTTTCTCCGCCGAATCGAAATGCCTTAGCTCTCCACCCATTACCGCACGGTCACCCCCTCCTCCCCCCCCCCCCCCCCCCCCCCCNCCCCCCCCCCCCCCCCCCCCCCCACCGACGCACAACGCCAGGTTCCCGAGCTGGCCGGGGACCCCGAAGTGCCGGGCACCTGTCGAAACCGCCAAAAGTGGGTGCCGCAGGCGTGGAACGACGCTCAAGCTGAAGCGATCACGCTCCAAACATCCCTCGCCGCCACAAGCGACCACGGCCAAGCTGCCAAGTTCGACGGAGATGGAGGGCGGGCCGCCGGCGTGGGANGGGGGGGGGGGGGGGGGGGGGGGGGGGGGGGGGGGGGGGGGGGGGCTAGTGTATGACCTGCTCGCGGTCGTGGTGCATCGGGGAAGCGCGTACTCGGGGCACTATCACGCTCTCATCAGAGACTGCCTGCAGGAGGTGAGGAGGGGTGGATTGGTTTGTTGGGGTGGATAGTGTTTGTTGTTGGTTAGTCCGGGCTACAGTATGCATGTCGCGATGATTGCGTGACGGGGTTAAGGGGTGATGGCACCATCTTTGACGATGGTCGTGAGAGATCGCAAGACACCATTCTAGGTGTACACCACTCCCTCATTCCCTCCCCTCCTCCGTTCCCCCTTGATGACATGCTACTCTGGGGAGGGAGGTTTCGATGATGCACGACAGTAAATAATCGCAAGGTGCATTGTCATTGCGGGTTCTTGCATACCTTCTTGGGAATGCAAGTGGAACGTTCCATGGGCGTACGATGAGACGTACCATGGGACATCCCATGTGAACTATCAGTCATGCCAGGAGCGACATTCTCGCACCTTCGCCGGCATCGCTGCCTTCGGGTTTCTCTACAAGAAAGCGTCAAGACCAACCCAACAGCACAGATGGTGGCGAATTATTTCCCGATGATTGTGCTCCTACTTTCGTTATGAAGGAAGTACATGTACATTGAAAAACACTTGGGGTCGGTTTTGCGCGTGACATGTGTGTCGCCTGTGTGTTCCGTGTGCTTGCGTGGAATCGATTGGTTGGATTTTGACAGGGCCGGTGGCTCCCCCCGTCGGGGGTTGAATCCTTCTCAAACTAATTTGATTGATTGGCTTTCGACAGGGCTGGTGGCTACCTCCAAACTAATTAGATTGGTTGACTTTTGAAATGGCCGGTGTATACCTCCAAACTAGCGTGATTGGTTGGCTTTTGACAGGGCCGGTGACTCCCTCGGGGTTGAATCCTTCTCAAACTTATTTGATTGGATTTCGACAGGGCCGGTGACTACCTCCAAACTAATTTGACTGGTTGGCTGTTGACAGGGCCGGTGGCTCCCTCCGTCGGGGTTGAATCCGTCTCAACCGGCCCACGCGGGGGAAGACGAGGAGAAGGAAGGCGTTGGCTTGGGGGGGGATGGGGGTGGCCAAGACGAAGGCAAGAAGAGCGATGGGCCGTTAGGGGTGGGGACAGGTGAGACTGGCTCATGTTTTTTTTTTTTTGTCTTGCAAAGAACACAACAACGGTATATTTTCCACAGATGAAATTATCCGTCTAGATTTGTTCTTTTTCGATGTTGCAATCTGCTTTCGGCCGTTTCTGTCTCTTGTTTTCGTCTGTACGCCTCCAGTCATGAACTTGTACGCCTTTGAGAATCTGCTGTGTTTCTCAATTGGGTCGGGAGTATCGGCAAGGGGACTTTGTTTTCGGCATCTCTCCTGTAACGTCCCTAACCACCGCAACCTCCACATCATCCACTTGAGCAGTTTTATGATTCCCCCCCTTTTTCGATGGTCCTTCTTTTCCTGACAAAGGACGGAACCTTCCCATTAGCGCGACCGCTCGGTGTCTGTTATTCCGCCGCCGCACTTTGTAACGTTTGGATTTTTCAACCGTCACAAACACGAGGGTTCACTCTTGTTGAGTCTTGCACGTTGTCGTATGCATGTTCGGCCGCACTTTGCCACGTTTGGATTTTTCAACCGTCACAAACACGAGGGTTCACTCTTGTTGAGTCTTGCACGTTGTCGTATGCATGTTCGGCCGCACTTTGCCACGTTTGGATTTTTCAACCGTCACAAACGCGAGGGTTCACTCTTGTTGAGTCTTGCACGTTGTCGTATGCATATTCGGCCTCATTTTGTAACGTTTGGATTTTTCAACCGTCACAAACGCGAGGGTTCACTCTTGTTGAGTCTTGCACGTTGTCGTATGCATATTCGGCCGCATTTTGTAACGTTTGGATTTTTCAACCGTCACAAACGCGAGGGTTCACTCTTGTTGAGTCTTGCACGTTGTCGTATGCATATTCGGCCGCATTTTGTAACGTTTGGATTTTTCAACCGTCACAAACGCGAGGGTTCACTCTTGTTGAGTCTTGCACGTCGTCGTGGTAGTACCCACCTTCTATGCCTACCTGATCACAGTTCGGAGAACTACTCTAGTCTAGTGATGTCGCAACAGTAGCAAATCGAACGTGGTGTCAATCTCCGTACATTCGGGGTACATGTATGACAAAAAGATGTCATACCAAGTGTTAGAGTCGATTTCTGATAAGGGTAGCGCCACGTGCGGTGTTACGTACACGGTGGCTCTCCCTGCTCGTAGCGAAGCTGCTGCTGCTGCTGACGAGCTCTTCCACCTCATGTCTAATCCACACCCAACACAAACACAAACACCAACAATACCTGGTAAAAAAGGTCCCCACAGGATTGGCGGTAAGACGCAGCAGCAGCAGCAGCAGCAGCAGCAGCAGCAGGGGCCGATGGAGCTATTGCTGGAGGTGTTCGAGGACGCTCCGAAGCACCAAGACCTGGGGAAGCCTTGCATGCAGCTGAAGGAGTTGAGGGCTAAGACGCGCTCGCGCTTGGGCGGCAAGAGATGGGATAAGGTATTTACAAACACGAGAGATTGGAGAAGGGAGGGGAGGGGGGGGGAGAATTGCAGCAGAAATAATGCTTGAAAAAAATTGGGAAGGTCCTCAATTCGCCTTTTTGCTCGCTCCTTATGGGGAATCAAACGCGAGAGAGAGAGAGAGAGAGAGAGAGAGAGGGGGGGGGAGAGGGTGAGGGAGAGAGTCATGCACACGAAATTGTACCTTTGTTAACGACAACCATTTTCCCTTTTTCTGTCATCAGACCGGCACCATTATTCACACATTTCTCGGTGAGTTTGCCGAGTATCGACACGAGGATACGAGCCCGCCTCACTCGGGTTCACCTCAGGAACTTTACTACCATGAAACAATAACAGTCGTCATGCAGGATGCCCTGTGGCCCTCGATGTCTTGAATCACTATGATACACCGCCACGTGTTTCGATGTTCGCATTTCGATTCTTATATATCGCGGTTTTTCCGATTTTTTGTTTTTCAAAGCTCCCGGATACGGAGCACATTCAAAAATCGAAGTGGAAATTTATGGTTGACACTTTGGGGTAAAAAGACGCAACCTGCATCGTTCCTCGCGGTGCAGTTGGCAGCGAAGGCAAATCTGTATGCCAGAAGGTGGAAAAATGGGAAAGATTCGTGTGCAGCCTTCCTCTCCCATGTGCCGCCGTCTGTGTAGTGCTTCTTCAACAAGATTAAGCGTTAAAATTCCGCAAGGCAGATTTATGAAAAACAAATCGACGTTCAGAATAGATCAGTTTGCGGCACACACGGCTGTCGCCGTACAGTCTTTCGCGGCAGTGTTCGGGTCTCGATCAACGACGGACTGCGAAGTATCGCAGCCATCATATATCGCCGTACCTATCGTTACTCGTTCCTTGCCACCTGCCGCGATGGTCCTGCTGTACGCGCTACCCCCGTTACTTCAGGTATTTAAACCGCGACTGGACAAGTTCATCATGGACCACGCAGACGTGTTCATGCTCCAGGAGACAGAGACCAGCGGCGTGGAAGTGCTCCTCCTGCACAGGCCGGGGGGGGGTGAGGGTGATGCCGCGGAGCCCCCCGCGGGAAACGCCGCCGAGAGTGGGGGGGGTGGGGCCCCCGGTGCGGATGGTGAGGCACGTCGGGAGGGGACGGGGAGCTGGCTGTGATGATGGTGGTCTTGGAGTTTGTCCGGCCGCGGTTTGAAGTTCCAGGCTGATGTCGTGATGGCGGTGACGTCTGCTCTTGTACTGATCTGCTGCCGCTGTTGTACCGCCCGTGCTGACCAACATTGAAGATTGGTACCGTCAGATGAGTATTTTTGTCGCACTTTTTGCCTGCCGACCTATCTTCGTCGCTCCCCTGCCTGTCTCTCTCGCCGTCTTGCTGGCCTCCTCCAAACAACCACGTGTCGCAATCAACCCTACCGCTTTGTACCTCTGTACGCCGATTCATGCACCCTACCAACCGTTGCGTACCGCTGTGTGTCGACTCATGAACCCTGTACTGCACCACCCCTATTCCTGTGTGCCTGCTCATGGTCTCATGGTCTCATGGTCACGAACTTCGAAGGGTCGGACCCAGAGCTGGAGGAAGTGCTGCGGCTGTCACTCCAACAGCAGTCTGCAGGCCAGCAAAGCTTGGCGCCAGCCAACGGAACTGCCCTTGCGGACACTGTGGGGGACGGCGGCGGTGGCGGCGGCAACGGGTCGGCGGCGAGCAAGGCGGTGCCCCCGGGGGCGGTGGATGCGCTCGCGTCGGAGAAACACGGCCGGTGGTTTAGCTTCGACGACCGGAAGGTGTGTGTCAGCAACATTGTGCCAATCACATCACAGCGTAACATCCCTCGCAGTCACGTCAGTGACAAGTCACACACGTGTTTTTGTGCTCGCTGGTCAACATACCTCTTTCTTTGTCTAATCTTTTCTTGCCTATGACACAACAAAATCTTCTCCACAGGAAAAAGAGCCTGGGATAGATTTTTTTATTTTTTACTATAATAGCGTATTTTTGTTGATTGATATGCTATCACTTTTTGAGTGCGATGGTATTCAAAGATGCACTGCGCTCATTTTTAATGTTTTTTATTGTTGGTAGGTCATGCACACCAGCCGGGCTGTGAAATGACGTCATCCTCAGTGCTCATGATAACGGAGGAGTTGCTGTACCTCAATGCCTCAGTCGTCAATCATGCCTGTCGCGTTTTCGCGATGTTTTGGATATTCGTTTTTGGCATGATATGGCTGGCAGGTGACGCCGATCTCTATTCGCGATCTGCAGAAGCCTTTCGAAGGGGCGGAGACTGCCTACCTTCTCATCTACAGATCCAGGTGCGTTACACCTACGACATCGGCATGCAGCAGTAGGAGATTATCTGTATGTTGCTGGGACAACATTGAATACTGCAGTACAACCGCAGGCACAACAGGTCACAACACACTTTAGTATTCCGAAATGTTTGCTTATTGTTCTTGACTGTTGCTTCCTCTGCGCAGGAATATAAGCTCGATTCGGAAAGGCCCGCTTTAGTGCTGATTTGAGACCTCTAGACTGCCGCAGTGCGTTCAATGCATGTTTGGCACCATGGTCGAGACAAACGAACAACTTTGGACCCAGGTACCCTGTGAGATCGCGCTCAACGTCTATCTTCATGTGTTACGGAGGATAAGCCGGTACAAGCCGGTACAAGCCGGTAGAGTAGCTACGGTAGAGAGGGAGAGGAAAAGGTGTTGTGGCACGGCAGCTTTTTTTTATTTTTCTTAATATCACACAACAAATCCATCTCTATCTACAGAAATACGTCTAAGATAGATTTGCAATGAATCCATAGCGTGAGCGAAAGGCTACCTGTATGTCTACGGTTTCCCAGACAGCATACAACGATAACTCCCCTGTGGGTAACTTCTTCGAATATTTCAGAACCTTTTTTATTGCTGTTCTCGTGAGGTTCTGGTGCAGAGCCTAATGCCGAGGTTATTGCTCACTGGCCAATACAGCACCGCCTACACACCAAATCCTCTGCTTTCTGTGGGTAGCTGATTGCTGTTGGTGTAGATGGTGCTGCATTGGTCGGTGAAGCAAGAACCTCGGATTTGGAGATTTCTCCGAAACGTCACGAAACCCACCGCAAAAACCGTTTAATTTTTGTTCACCAGAAGACTTCCAACCTGACGATTCCCGTCTTTCGAGACAACCACCCTTTTTGCGCCGTAGGGGTAGATGGTGTTGTATTAGGAGGACTGCAAAGACCTCCCGGGTTCTGCTCCAGGTCCTTGCGAAACCAACAAAAAAAAACGTTCAGAAAAACTCGCAGATGGGGGTGTGCTATTCCAAGTTTCCTCCAAGCGAGCTTATATTCCTGTGCAGAGGACGCTACAAGCAATTCATTTTCATTGCCGGAGCACATTTTTTTCAACCCAAAAATTGAACTGTCCACAGATAAATTTTACTACAGTCAAGAACAATTAGCAAGTATTTCGTAAAATTGAAGTTTGGTGTGTGACCTATTGTGCCTGCGGTTTTACTGCAATATTCAATCATCTGACACCACACTTCATTCAATGTTACGAAATGTTTGCTAATTGTTTTTGACTGCTATAATTTATCTGTGGACAGTTTATTTTTCGGGTTGAAAAAACATGTGCTCCGGCAATAAAATGAAATACTTGTGGCGTGATCCGCCTTGCATGTTTTGTGTTCCCCTCCAACATGGATCCGTGGTACCGCAGCATATGCATACAACACTACACAACACGTGCCGTTCACATGGTCCAATATTAGCGGGGAACCTCGTAGACCGACTACTGTAACAGGAGGTTGAAGGGGTCTGGTGTGGAACATTTTGCGTTTGTGAACCTCTGTCGGGAAAGAACAATTTGCAATTTTGCGGTGGAAAGCGATTTATTAGTGAGTAGGAGTACCCACAGTGAGAGGGTAAGGAGCAAGAGCAAGAGCACAAGATGGTCAAGGCGTGGTTTGTTGTGATGTGTGTGTGTGTGTTTTCGTCCTATTTATTATGGCGACAGTCCCCCCATTTACTGTAAGCACCGCAAGGTGGGACAAAAAAACATGTGTTCCCTTCCTTCTAGGTGACCCCGGCTGATATTTTATTGTGAAAAGGCCGTTGTAGACTGGCGTCCAGAAAAGGTGGGTGAGGCGAAACACCCGACACAAACACCAACCCGTACCATTCCCAATACCAACAACAAAGACTGTGTTCATGTTCATATAGCGAAAATCATTGCGCAGGACATGGAGGAGCTGTGGTATAATGGTTAGAATTGATCCCTGTCACGGATCAGATCCGGGTTCAATTCCCGGCAGCTTCGTTTCTTTCTCACTTTTTTCCCGAAATCTTTCCTTCAAAAGTTAACGAAAGTAGTGGGATGGCATAGAAAATGTTAATGTTGTTGTGTTCTTTCTCGTTTTACATGGGTCTGTCTTGTCACAGATTAGTACAGAAGTATCAGCCAATAGGTTTCGCCAACGTACATTAGGGTAGCGATGCAAGTAGCTATTGTAGCTTGCTAATTGTGGCCCTTGAAGAAATGAATCGAGTCGACGCTCTCAACATTTTTTTTTTTCGTCAACATTTACATTTCGTACCCTTTAAACAGGCCCGTATTTAGACCAACAAATTAGCCCGCTCGTCTTTTTGAGGAACGATCCGAGATGAAGCTCACAGCAAACGTTGTATTTTCCTTTTTTTTCATCCTTTTCGACGGTTTTGTATGCACATGTACCCTACAAAAACACTAATATAGGTCACTAGATCAAGAGGCTGGCTCGCCCGTCTCACCAGCGGACACCGCCGCGGCTGGCAGCACCAGCAGCGCTGGATCGGGGGGGCCGCGGAATCTTCCGGGGGGCTTGCACATGACCTCTGTGCCCCCCTCGTACTGGATGGACAAAGTGGACACCGAAAACCATTCTCTTAAGACCGTCAAAGACAGCAAGTGAGTCAATCAAACCAGTCGTTGATTTTCGTTTTTCTGGTGGCGTGATTTCCATTAGAACCTGGCGGCATTATTGCGAGAGTGTGTACGGGAGACAATCTGGACCAGAGTTTTTTTTTTTTTCCATGTTTGAATTTTTCAGTTTGGGGGACGCAATATATCCATGAGGTGGTGGTTGTTCAGGGTTTATTCTTCGGGCACGTGTTGACAAGAAAATCTAGCGAGCAGCTGTTGTATCTTATACATGGTGATGGCACTGACAGTGGAAAATGTCATTTGCAACTGTCTGAGAGAAAGGGGAATGATTCCATGACAACAACAACCTTTTTCGCCTTGACTGCGAAGGAGCCCTACAAGCGTTGGTGCAGAGGATTTTGTCTAGTGAAGGTCTGAGGGGGGGGGGAGGGTCGGGTAAGGCAGAGGGTGTTATCATACGTCATGGTATGGAAGTCGAGGCCGACGGGGACACAAGGGCCAAACACAAGAACATGACGAAACACGGCGACCGGACGGAGCGGCGAGAGCCGCGGCTACGGCGGCAGGTGGTATGGTATTAAAAGCGACGATAGTCTAATTGCCTAGCTGACTGGCTTGTCTTTGAACTACACATACCAGTATGAGTGTATTTATGTAAATCGTCGGCACTGAGCACGATCCTGTTGATGCCCGTCGTGGCCCCTTCGGAAAATCAGTACCACAGCGCTATTGGGAGGAATGTCAAAAACCTGATCTTGATCTTGGTCGCCACACCTTGTTAAAATCCAGAAGGGGCGTTGTGGGGTGGTAGACATCCACGTCGAAAAAAAGTCCTTTTCAACCCTGGCTGACCCGACCTCTCGCGCTTCCGTTGATTTGATTCATTTTTTTTTTTCCGTTTTCTTGGTTCATTTTTTTTTTTTTTTCAGGGAAGCGGACCTTCATGGAATCAAGCTCACCGTCTGGGTTCCCAAGCTCCTACAGGTCCAGATGCCGCACCTGGTGCCGCTGGATCCTTCCTCGTCTAGTCTGGACCAGGTGCACGATGGTGTCCAGCTGCTGCTGCTGCTGCTGAGATGGTATTGTGTCCCACCGCACGTGGCAAGAATGAGTTGCGAATGACATGTGGAATGAGAACAAACAAGTCGTGGGTTCGTGTTGATCATTGGATGGCTTCACCTAGGCGTTGGTGTACATGCCGACTGATGTTATTTATCATGTCACGTGTCCTCGGTGCCGAGACTTTCGCGTTGCCATGCACGTACGTACGCTGATATCTGCACGTCGTGTCACATGGGTTGAGCTTTGAGTGCCTAGTGTTTTCACGTCGGTGGGTGCCAACTTAGGCCGCATGGATATTGAATGCCTAGTGTTTTCACGTCGACGGGTGCCAACTTGAGCCACATGGATACCGAATTCTCGTTTGTTGTCTATTTTTCCCGTCAATTCCTCAACCCCCCTCATGGCAACTTCCGCACGCTTGGTTCTCTATTGGAACTCCTTCCATCGACAGCTCCCCGAGGCTCTGCGTTCTCCGTTAGTGCTGCACCTTGACGACCGCCAGACGGTCAAGGACCTTAAGAAGGAGGTGGTCAAGAGGCTCGGGGAGTTCTGCAGAGAGATGGGCGTATCTGACATGGAGAGAGCGCGGCTGTCGGAGGTCAGAGAGGATTGAGCTTTCACCCTCCGTAAATATGCCGGGGCGGGGGGGTGTACTCATAGTCGTGCATGCCGTAGTCGTTAGACCATTGACCTCGCATCCCTACAAAACCGGGACGGAGCACGCCGGGTTCTCACCAGACCAGGCTCTCACATCACCAAGCGCGAAGCGCCGTGAGATATTCGGCGAGTCGCATGAAGGGT